TTCGTGACCAATCTGGATGTCGCCTGATGATGCTAGTTGTAATAACTGGCGAAACCTTGTACTCGAATTGTAAATGTTGTGGGTGTTACTCTCCAACACATCGGTGTGATGTACTTGTAACGAATTGGCACTTTTTGTTTACGTGACAAACTTTACAAATTGGCTATGTCGTGTGGTGGCGGGTTTAACGACACATTTATATTTACGCGATATAACTCAAAAACCTCTATTAAGGAATTACGATGTCAATGATGTGTGAATTCTGTGATGATGGTGAGCTATGGTGTATTTGATGAGGGCAACATCATTGTTACAGGATTGTGGTTGATGATGATGTCTGGCGTGATGCTGATGGTTATAGGTGATGATGTTGCACTCGACAGACACTGTCAGTGATCGAGTTGAATGAGGGTTGTTACAGTGTGATCAGTTACGTAATGTTTATGACATCAAATACAATGATGACTGCAGTGAAGAAGGCCATGGCCCGAAACGTCGCCGATTATATTTTCAATTCGAGGCCACGGTGTTACTGAAGGCGTTTTCACGGCAGTGAGATGAACTGAAAATTAACTAAATGATGTGTTAATTGAAGTACACATTACCATATTTTTTCCTCAGAAAATGATTTAAGTGTTTTAAAGAAAGGACATCGCCCGAAACGTCCCATATTATATATTTTTTTAGACCACGGTGTTATTGACGAATGTGTCGAGTTGTTATTTCGTACATTCCTGTATAATTTGACATCTGTTATGTGGGTGCAATGTTAATAATGCCAATAATGACTACACTACTTTCTATAACATAGCTTGTTTAGTATGTTGATAGAGACACCAATGTTCAGACGAACTATTGACAGTTACAAGATTAATCAGGCAATCGTTTGCGTATATTTTGCCACTCATTTATACAGACTATTAAGCACGCTGAATATCAGCTATCAATCTAATTAAATCGTCCATTAATTGAATAGGTTTTTGATAATACCTCTATAGATTACACCCTAAATTATATTGATTTAGGCACCGTGTCATTCCCCAATGATGAGGTCAATCAGTAAAGCTAGAGACTGCACATTATCGACGCGGCACTTGAAGGATATTTATGACTCAATCATAGTCAACTGATGTCTGATGCCTGGTTTGCTATCCATTTGCTAACTGGAGCAGGCGCCCTGATTTCAAACCATTTAGATACTCACTCCTCATCAATGTTTGCTCGCAAAGATGACCGGAGAACGAGTGCGTCCTTTATTCATGTTGAGTAAATCCACGCTGGATAGAGAAATAGAACTTTTAAAGGAAATAAGCCACGTGCAGTGGGCTCACTCTAATCACAGTCACAATCAAGAAGCGGCCGTGAAATCAGCTCCGTGTGACCACATTCCATCCCATCAGACGAGTATAATCAGGCCACGTCCTGTAACATTAAAACTCGCATTTGTCACAAACCTCCAATTACCACGGTTGGCTTACGTACGGTGCAAAAGAAGTTCAACATACATAACACCGCGGCCTTAAAATGATATGTACGTACAAGCAGGCGTTTCGGGCAATTACCCTTCTCCAGAACAACAATTCGTTTTGGAAAATGAAAAACCAACAACTGACCTTATTCCGTTATCTTTTGATTTTAACAAAAAGTCGAGTTTAATTATCCTACTTAATTATCCTGCTCATTGGAAGCCCAGTGCTGCAATTAATCAACGAGGCAATCGAAGGCAACGCTTTTCAACTGCAGCCCATAGTTTTTTAGCCGTATGCTTGGAAGGCGAGAGGGCCCATTCATGATTCACAGTCCAGCGTTGGCCTATGAACTATGGTAAAATTAGCCGCACGAAGCCGCACGGCGTGGCATGCGGAGGGCCACCGCCTTCCAGCAGTAGACTCACAAAGTGGTGCTTTCGTTTCATGTCCAGGTACGCAGACATCTGCAGGTACGCAGACATCTGCTGGCTATCGAATCAGGTTGACCACGGCTCATCGTTTGCCTCATCATTCGATCACGAAACAAGGTGAAGAGGTAAGGCTGAAGGGATGCGATTGGTCGCTCGCGCACACTTACACGTGAACAATTACACAACAACAACAACAAAAGGCCTCGACAGACGTGTGGGACAAGCGCTGTTAGCGAGTTGGGGCCGCCTATGAAGGCCGGTACGGTACACATATGGGCTGGGTGGCCAGCACCACGCCCGGCCGCCTTTGTCTCCCTAAGTGGGGATGTCTACACACCTCACCAGGTACTCATTTGAGGCTGAGTCGACCTAGTGGAGGCCCAGGACCGGTTTAGATAATCGCCACCGGTGTTAGCGGGAATCAAACTCGGGTGGTCGGGTTCGTACCGCCACACAAGAGACATCAGCTCACAACAAGACACTTTGACGAGACATCAACAATACACTTAAACACATTGCAATATACAACAACCAGCAGCCATGGCACACACATTCATACTCAAGGGGTGGGCAGGAGCTACTCGGAATCTGCTTGCTATCGAGTAATCGACTATCTATAGAGATAACGTCGCTCAAAGCTTATCCATTAGTCGGATTGTGCAGGCGATTGACCTATGATCTACGATCAAAAACGATTATTCGAGACTATCGATTACAGACTGGTCATGGATGTTTGAGGCCCACGTTCATGACACAGATTTGCGTGTGTCGTCAAGGCTTCGACCACCCGACGCTGTGTACAAGCATCTAACGCCGCTCACGGGAGATTTGAACAATTCTCGCATTATATGGGCACTGGCATCGTGTAAGAATTCACGTTGGGTGGTGGTTGGGGACGGTCTTGACAACACACACTTTTTTAATACACAAGGTACACAGTTTGGGTAACGAGTCGCAAACATCCGACTTGATCAACCTTTGAACCCAATGCACGGTTATACGAATATCGATTAACAACCCGATTTGTCACTTATCGATTCGTCGGCGACCGTGGCGTTTGATGAAATCGATGACCCGACACTCACCACCCACTTGAGCCCCGCGTCGCCGTTGCTCTTGGACATCTCGCTCGCGGCCGTCCGTCCGTAACAATAATTACACAAAGAATACAAACGGCGTCTAACCTAAACCCTCGACGAAGCGGAGGGGAACAACAAAAATTTAAAACCCCACCACGAAAACAACGCTATTGTTTGACGCGCTACTGTCAAGGGCCCATAGCCCCGAAACGTCGCCGATTTGATTTATTCTCGACACAAGAGGCCGTCCGCGGTGCGGACTTGTCGACAGCGGCGAGCGATAATTATGATTTTGTTGTTTGTAATTTCTTCTCCCCCCGGTCGGCTTAAGTTGTAATCGCGATTCGTCCAATCGACGAAATCGCGGCGAGAACAAAGCGGAGAGAGGCTGAGTGAGGAGGCTGAGGGAGAGGGGAGAGAGGCGGAGGGGACAGGCGGAGGGGAGAGAGGCTGAGGGGAGAGAGGCTGAGGGAGGCAATGAGAGGCTGAGTGAGGAGGCTGAGGGAGAGGGGAGAGCCGCCCCAGCGAGGCGGGAGGCCGCCGCCGGAGTCGCCGGGGGGGTCTGTGGCCAAAGGCAAGGGCCGCCGCCGCCGCCTCCTCCTCCTCCCCCTCACGCGCTAATACTACAGCAGCGAAAGTTGTTTAATTTTAAAAAGCTACAATCGTACACAAAATAATAATAAACGTGACGGGGAAGGGGGGGGGTGTTTGATTTGGCAGTGGGGGGGGGGCGGCGGTGGAGAGAATTTTTTTGTTTTAATCCGCGGGACCGAGTCGAGGCCGCGCGGGGCTGAGACGCGGCGCCGCTGGCGGGAGCCAATCGCAGAGCAGCTTGTTGCGCGCGCCGCGCTCGGGGAGCCAATCGCAGAGCCGCTTGGATGCGCGCGCCGCGCTCGGGGAGCCAATCGCAGAGCCGCTTGGATGCGCGCGCCGCGCTCGGAGAGCCAATCGCAGAGCCGCTTGGATGCGCGCGCCGCGCTCGGAGAGCCAATCGCAGAGCCGCTTGGATGCGCGCGCCGCGCTCGGAGAGCCAATCGCAGAGCCGCCTGCTGGTCGCCCGCGCGCGGCAGGTCACGTGGGACTCGGCTGTGCGAGATGAGTTTACCCACGAGGCACTGCGGCACTGACCCCCCCCCACCGTCATTGCCCCCCCCACTCTCACTGGTTCCTCCTCCCTCCCCCCCCCCAGGGCCCCCCACTCTCACTGGCTCCTCCCCCCAGGGCCCCCCACTCTCACTGCCTCCACCCCCCAGGGCCCCCCACTCTCACTGGCTCCACCCCCCCAGGGCCCCCCACTCTCACTGGCTCCTCCCCCCAGGGCCCCCCACTCTCACTGGCTCCACCCCCCAGAGCCCCCCACTCTCACTGGCTCCACCCCCCAGGGCCCCCCACTCTCACTGGCTCCACCCCCCCAGGGCCCCCCACTCTCACTGGCTCCGCCCCCCAGGGCCCCCCACTCTCACTGGCTCCACCCCCCCAGGGCCCCCCACTCTCACTGGCTCCTCCCCCCCAGGGCCCCCCACTCTCACTGGCTCCTCCCCCCCAGGGCCCCCACTCTCACTGGCTCCTCCCCCCCAGGGCCCCCCACTCTCACTGGCTCCACCCCCCCAGGGCCCCCCACTCTCACTGGCTCCTCCCCTACCCCCCAATTGAACCACGTGATCCGTGACACATCGGCACTGCGCTGTCGCCCAATCAGGAGCGAGCATGAGGAACCCAGGCGCGCCGACTCCGTAGCGATTCCACTCATTATCGATTCGAGTTCTCGATCCATACCACAATTATGTTCAGTAATCGATTTTGTATTAGCTTCGCGGTGGCGTGCAGAATTTACAGAAGCTGTAAGTGTATCGCATGAAAATGATTCACAGTATCAATTGTAATTATGCAGCCGCTATCGATTCCACACGTAAAAAATTATCGATGCAGGCCTCACTTCGATTCCTCGATTAATGGTGATTTCGTACTCATACGAATCTAAACCAACCTCGCGCATAAATCTATGAGCACAGGAATCGATTCCAGTCTCAGGAGCATCAACCAAAATCCCAACGGCACGAATCGCGATCCGAATACTGAATCGATTAATCGCCTAAATCGATTAATCGCCAGGTGCCCTTTGCAGGCGCAGCTCTGTAATTGCTTTGCTCATTCTCCTGCTGGCGAAAGGGCCTCTACACTGGAGGGAGCTCTGAGGCCCTCTCAGAGGTGCTTTGGCCTACTCTTTCACGCTGGCCATGTGCCTCTGAAGTCGTTTGGTGTCTTTCAACGCGGCGTTCTAAATCAACAAAAAAATAATAATCATTCGGCGGCGAGAGGACACGAGTCGCATCGTTGTGTTGGTGCTGCACCAGAAGGCTCGTCTTGTCTAAGCGCGCACGTGTTCTGCTGCGGGGGGTGACACCCAGAGCCCTTTAACTCGCACTTGTTCCGCTGCCCTTTAACTCGCACGTGTTCCGCTGCCCTTTAACTCGCACGTGTTCTGCTGCCCTTTAACTGGCGCGAGGTCACGCGTGGAGCAAGCGCCGAGACATCACCAGGGCAGCGTGACAGCTCCCTCCTCTCGGCCTTCCCTTCTCCCTGCCCTTCCTCACCGCTGCCCTTCACTCTCCCGCTCCATTCTCTGCACTGCCCTTCTCTAATCCATCGCTGCCCTTCTCTCGCCGACCCTGCCCCCCGGCATCCATCTCATCCCGCTGCACCCCCCCCCACTCCCGAACATCTCGCCACGACATCGTGGACCATGTCCCCCTCGCCCTTCCTCCACCTGCGTGCCTGTCGCAGCCTGCTCAAGCACCCGGCCGCCTCTCTCACGTCAACGTCGCCGCCCCCGGCTCGCCCCGGCGCGAGCGCCGCTCCGCTACCGTCGCCGCCTCGCCGCCGCGTGGTCATCACGGGCCTCGGCGTGATCTGCCCGCTCGGCGTGGGCGCGGACGCCGTGTGGCGTCGCCTCCTGCGGGGCGACACCGCCACCGTGGCGCTCGACCACGCGGCCTTCGCGTCGCTGCCGTCCCGCGTAGCCGGCCTGGTGCCCCGCGGAACGGGGGGCGGCGACAGCGCCACGTTCGACCCGTCCCTCTTCGTGCCCGCGTCTCAGGCCAGGCACCTGTCCCCCACCACCGTCATGGCCTTGGCGGCGGCCCGCCTCGCCTTGGACGACAGCGGCTGGCGGCCCCGCGGCCCCGAGGAGCGGCTGCGCGCCGGGGTGGCCGTCGGGGTCGGGGTGGCCGACCTGGAGGAGATCGTGAACGCCGGCGTGTCGCTGCGCGAGCTGGGAGCCCGCAAGCTGAGTCCCTTCTTCGTGCCCAGGATCCTCACCAACATGCCCGGGGCCCACATCAGCATCGCGCACGGCCTCAAGGGCCCCGTGCACTCCGTGTCCACGGCCTGCGCCACGGGCGCGCACGCCCTGGGCGACGCGGCTCGCCTCGTCGCGCGCGGGGACGCCGACGTGATGGTGGCGGGCGGCGCCGAGGCGGCCGTGACCCCCTTGGCCGTGGCCGGGTTCTGCCGGGCGCGCTCGCTGAGCACGGCCTTCAACGGGAGGCCCGGGGCGGCCTCCCGGCCCTTCCACCCGGAGCGCGACGGCTTCGTGATCGCCGAGGGCGCCGCCGTCGTGGTGCTGGAGGAGATGGAGCGCGCCGTGGGGAGAGGCGCGCGGATCCTGGCCGAGGTGATGGGCTACGGGATGTCCGGCGACGCCAACCACATCACGGCGCCCAGCGAGGATGGTGACGGTGCCTACAGGTGGGCCTGTGTCTGTGTGGGTGGGTGCCCATACCTGTCAACCCCTTATCGGCGACCTTACCTTATTGCAGACAAATTCAGGTCACTCGTGGCCTTATACATTTCAACGTTCATCCTACAAAGTGCCATCACAAGGGAGAAACAAGTAGCCAATCGCCACCACTACACTCACCACTAGGACACTCACCACCACTACACTCACCACTACATACCTGTCCACCCCTTATATCAGTGCCCTTACCTTATTACAGACCAATTTAGACATTATTGGTCACCACGTGCCCTTGTCAATCTCAACGTTCATCCTACAAAGTCCCATCACAAGCGAGAAACACAAACAAATAAGAGAAAAATTAAGTTACTGAACAATAACTGTTTTCTGTATTCATTTTGATTATTGGTGTCAATAATGCTACTTGTCATGCTGTTGTCCGTGATCTTGCATGCTGACGCTGCTTACTTGATATGTCGATGCACGCACTCGGCCATATGATTTTGTGTTGCCCGTATTGAAATGGCTGTACGCCTTGTGGTCCTGAAAACTCAATTTCCCAGTACAAGAATACGGGCAAACCGTATTAGTTGACGGGTATGTGTGTGTTGGTGAGTGAGTGTTGAACTAGATCGACTCGGCCTCAAATGAGTACCTGGTGGGGTGTGTCAAAACATCTCCACGTGTTGGCCACCCACCCCCTCGTGTGCCGTACCGGCCTTCATAGGTGCTACTCGCTCACAGCATTCGCCCCAGCAGTCTGCTAAGGCTATACACGGGCGATCTTTGTTGAGGTGGTCGCTCTGTCATGTGTAGAACTTGGTATGGAACTACTCGCTATATCACGTGCAGGACCTGGAGTTCAACGCATCACTCTGTCACATGGTGTTGAACTGGTCTCTGTGTCACTTGGAGGACCTGTGGCTACTTGGATAGAATTTCCCTTCATTCACATGATTTAGATTACAAACTAAGTTGAGTGTCCAACCGGCTTGTAGCACATGGAGTTAAACTGTTAACTGTGACACATGTCGGACCTGGCGGTGAACCGGCCACTCGGTCACCTCCTCTCACCGCAACTCCCACCACTCCACTGCGCACGCAGGTGCATGGAGGCCGCCCTGCTCGACGCCGGCCTCAGCCCCGGCGACGTCGGCTACATCAACGCTCACGCCACGTCCACTCCGCTAGGCGACGCGGCCGAGCTCTGCGCCATCCAGCGCCTCTTCGGGTCTCGCTGCTCCTCCTCCTCTGGCGGCGTTCCGGCCCTCGCCATCTCATCGACGAAGGGCGCCACCGGTCACCTGCTCGGCGCGGCCGGCGCGCTCGAGGCGGCCTTCGCGGCCCTGGCGTGCGCGCGCGCCGAGCTGCCGCCCACCGCCAACCTGGACCGCGTGGAGCCGGGCTGCACCCTGAACCTCGTGCCGCTGCGCTCGCAGCCGTGGCCGCACGATGACCGCTGCCGCCGCCGCCGCGTGGCATTGACCAACTCGTTCGGGTTTGGCGGCACCAACGCCTCGCTGTGCCTGGGCAGTGTGGACGCGTGATTCGCCTGTCTGGAACGCTCTTCCCGCTGATGTTAAGAAGCCGCTGGAGCTATTCACTTTTAAATCTAAAATTGGTAACTAATTTATTCAGAACTACTTTTTGTGTTTAGTTTGTCCTTCCGCCGCACCTCCGATTAGCACGGTTGGCTACATACGGTGCAAAAGAAGTTCCACATGGTTGGTGACAGTGGTGGTGGTGCAGGGAGGTGGAAGGCTTCGTCGAAGAGCGGCGTTAATTTCTTTATTGACATTAGTGACAAACATATTTGCCAACAAAGTTTTATTTTTATTTTAGTGAAAAACGGTGACTATGAGTGGATGGCAATCATCAAGCATGACGATGACTACCGGAGCAGAGAGAGTGTGAGGAGTTGAAACTCATGAATCTGAATGAAGACGCACACGTCTGTAATTTAGTGAAATTATGAGAGACTACCTTCACAGGGTATGTGGTGGAGACACCCATCACTCATACCTGTCAACCCAAACATTTTAGGGGCCGTCCATAAATGACGTCACGCGATTTTGAACGATTTTTGACCCCCCCCCCCCCCCCTCGTCGTCACACGGCGTCACAAAAAGTCAGACCCCCCTCAAATATGACATCACAAAGCTCTGCCCCCCCCAAAAAAAATACTATTGTCATTGTAGTGCGTATTTAATGTGGCGCTGCACTCTGATGTAGGAGAAAACATTTATTTTCTTAATTAAGTAGAACGTGTTGTCTATGTTTATTTAAAGTTGCGCATTTTGATGTGACGTCACATTTCTCACCCCCCCTCGTCACACATCGTCACAAATGTCTGAGCCCCCCCCCCCTCCCCCAGGTGCGTGACATCATTTATGGACGGCCCCTTATCCGTATTCTTGTACAGGATGTACAGGATGTTTTCAGGTTCATACGGCGTACAGCCGTTTCAATACGGGCAAATATATTTTATTGTCTATTTGTTTGTGTTTCTCCCTGGTGAATGAACTTTGTAGGATGAATATTGAGATTTATAAATTGACAGAAAAGTTTCACGAAATTGTGGAGACTTTTTTTAAAGGAGGTTTTCCTGCTTTGGGATGTTTGTCTCTTTCCATTTATCATGAAAGAAACTCAACAAATGTGTCAAAACACACTGCCTTAAAAGAAATAAGTATAATGCTCCACGTTTTGGTCAATAGCCCTTCTTAGCACATGTGCTCAGACATTCGTTCACGGTGTCGTTATTGTAAGAAGATTTTTATATAAGCAGTGTAAATTTGTAAAACCCAGAAGAGTTTTTTCGGAGCTTGTGAATAATGTAAATAAAAAAGCCAAGTTGACTTGTGAAAATTATCATCAGCGTCCTGAGGGTCATTTGTCGGAGTTCAAATCGTTTGCGTCCCGAGTGAACGCAGCCATAGTGGTGGATATTCTACATTCCTATGGCGAGGGCCAGTCACTGCGCGGGTCATCCACTGTCCTTATTTCATGACCTCCGGAGATGATGGCTTTAAGTTTGTGCTCTGCTGTGTCTGTGGGCCTGCTCGATGTTGAAGCTCTTTCGCCACCGTACACAGTCAGCCGCGCTGGTCGGAGGTGCGGGGGGAAGGACAACAAACTAAACACACAAAAAGTAGAACAATTCGTGCAAGTGCGTTTATGTTTTATTATTTTTAAAAAACTTGAAAATAAAATTACTATTCTTCGTTCTTTCGGTAAAGTCACGTAGAAGGGAAAAATATTTTTATTATTTTATTATGTCCCTTCAAAGTGACTTTACCGAAAGAACCAAGCACATTAATCCCTGCAGTCACGAAAGCTTTAAATCTAAATTAAATTACTGTACTGTACTGTCATATAAAAGCGTTTTTTAAAATAAATCTCGCTAAAAAACCATCCTGGCTTCCGTAGATTCTACGCCTCATGGGGGAGGGGGAGAATCCGCCTTGGATTCGTGACGTCAACGCGTTTAGCCTTGACGTCACCACGCGGCACGTCACCCGCCTTCGGCTCTTGAATGACATGACGGCGTTGAACACCAACGTCACCACGCCGACTGAGCAAATTCGCCGTTCAACGTCACCACGTTTAAACCTGACGTCACCACGCCGCATGCCCCCCCCCCCGTCAACGTTCATCGCCGCCGCACGTGACCAACCAACTCGGCGCGATGACGTCATGACGCCGTTTTACGTCAACGTTTTCCTTGCGAGTGACGTCACAGCCGAAGCGGTGACGTCACCGCGTCGAGACTTCCCCCCCAACGGACTCGGACCCAGGCCGTAGTGGAGATGGCGGTGTCGCTGGGACAGCTGCCGCTGCAGCAGCTGGAGGCGCTGAGGACGCAGCTGGAGCAGGTAGCGGGCCGCTTTCGGTGGCTGGGGCGGCAACGAGGGACCCCCCCCCCACAGACGGGGGTGGTGGCGGGCGGGGGGGTAACCGCGCCGCGGGGTGGCTGGGGGTGATGGCCGTGAGTGAACCTGTCATGGCGGCGGTTTCTTAGGGTTCACTCTGGAGGGCTGCAGTGCGAAATGCGGGGCTGGAGGCGAATGGAAGGCTCGCTCGGCTCGCTCGTCTCGCCCCGCGGTTGTTCTCGGGGCCCGGGGCTCTCGTTCCAGCGGCGCTTTGATTGGCAAGGGGCCTGCACCGCGTGGGAGCGAAGCACGCCCTCCGATGATTGCGTGTTGTCTTGCTGCTGCTGCTGTGGATGTCTACACGTGACGGGAGACGCTTTGTAGAGCGGCGATCATTTGGTCGCCAGGTGGCTTCTGAAAAGACGACGTTGATACACCTCGGGGTGGGCTTCGCCTGGCAGCACGGCGGCGGCGGTGACTTCGTGCTGTTTGTTTGTGTGACTTGTTTAGCTTGTGCCCGGCACTGTATCGTGTTCTTGTATTGTTGTTGTTGTAACGTCTCCGCTATATATAAGCAGGAAGAGAGGACGCTGACACTCGCGTAAATTGTATACCCAGAATGGGTAACACAATTTAATACAATTACTTAATTGTAACAATATGTAACATTAACGCGTTGGCTTTCGCGAACAATATCCATAAGAGGTTTTTTTGGGGTTAGATTGCGTAAATATATAAATGTGCCGCTAAAACCCGCCACCACCCAAATCTGGCTGTAGCCTGATGAAGCTGGTTGTAATTACTGGCGAAACGTCGTACACTCAGATTCTAAATGTTGTGGCTTGGCTCTCCAACACACAACCGGTGTGCTGTACTAGTATACTACACTATACACTACACTACATTATACACTACACTATACACTAGTACTGTAATAGTATACTACACTATACACTACACAATACACTACACACTACACACTAGTGCTGTACTAGTATACCACACTACACACTAGTGCTGTACTAGTATACTACACTGTACACTACACTATACACTACACTACACACTAGTGCTGTACTAGTGACGAATTGGCCACGTTGTTTACGTGACAACCCTTACTAGTTGGCTGTGTCGGGTGGTGGCGGGTTTAACGACACATTTATTTACATGATCTAACAACAACAAAACTCTTATGAATAGGTAACTTGTTGATTACACTCACTCATTTATCCTGTAACTTTCTATGGAGCTCTCACAACCCAACCACTCCCTTTCCCCTCCAGGCTGAACCGCCTTGCAGCTGCTACTTCACCCCTTTGTATGGCGACCCTCCCACTCCCTCCATTGCCCCAACTCACAGCCCCGTGGCTGCCCGCCCGAGTCAGGAGTCCCATCGCCCCCCACAGCTCCCTGCCGTGTTGCCACGCTCCCCCGTCATGTAGCCCCTCGACTTCTTTATACACAACGATCGTGCTTCAACGACACTGTTGTAACGTTCTTAGCCCGTGCCCCTACTGGACATGTGTGGAAAAGAGCTTTATAGCTCATCGGATTCCTACGGTGTAAATACATATTGTGATTTTGAGTTGGTGGTGGCGAGCGGTGGTCGCGTAGCCGTTAGCGCGTTGCGTTGCTACGATCTCGAAGACCCGAGTTCGAGTCCCGCTCACGGCCACCGACTCCAGTGACGATTATCCAAACCGGTCCTGGGCCTTCCCTAGGTCAATTCAACCTCAAATGAGTACCTGGTACGGTGTGTAAGCATCGTCACTAGGGGAGACAAAGGCGGCCGGGCGTGGTGCTGGCCAGCCAACCCCCTCGTGTGCCGTGCCGGCCCTTAATAGGAGGTCGCTAACAGCACTTACGGGGATCTTTGTCGGAAGATTCGACTCTATTCTTGCTTAGGATGGCAGAAATGCGATTCAGGAGCTAAATACTCATGTCGAGGTCTGGTAGCCACGGCTTCGGTAGAGAGAGAGTTCGTGTAGGTTTGCTTCAGTAGAGAGAGAGTTCGTGTAGGTTTGCTTCAGTAGAGAGAGAGTTCGTGTAGGTTTGCTTCAGTAGAGAGAGAGTTCGTGTAGGTTTGCTATTCCTCCGTTGAAGGCGTGTGTGGGTGATCGAGTCTGTAAGAGTAAATATACAGGCAGTCCCCGGGTTACGGAAGGGTTACAGTTCCTGAGAACGATCCCTAACCCGAATTTTCCGTATGTCGGAAACTGAACAATTTCCCCCTAAAATCAATTTTCCCCCAAAATCAACGATAGAATCCCATAGCCCAGGGGTCGGCAACCAAAATAACAAGAAGAGCCATTTCTTTCCAATTCGGTACAAAATTCAGTATTTCAAGAGCCGCAGTGCATTTGAGTACATACTGTACATACGTACATATCGTCAAGAAGCAGCCCGTAAAGAGCCGCATGCGGCTCCGGAGCCGTAGGTTGCCGACCCCTGCCATAGCCGTAAATAGTTGTGCCTCCCCTACCGTCTTCTCTCTACCGCATCGCGTTTTGTATTGCTGCCTGTATCGTGTCACTGTACATACGCTCGGCACTTTGATTCTTTAATTTAATGGAATATCGACACTGACACTACCCATAATTGGAATAATGGAGTATGTACTGTATCCAAACAGGTTCTTTCAAGTTGTTCGACCTCCGAATTTTATTCGATGTCCGGGGCAAAAATTTGTCGAAAATTTTGTTCGATCACCAAATTGTTCGAGTTCTGGGGCGTTCGATCTCCGAGGTTCTACTGTACTTCCGAATGTTCGTTACCGTGCATTAGGCTAGGCCTAGACTTCACATACTCACACACATACACACAGATAACAACAACAACAACCGCCATTCGCCACTAAGTGGCGGTGAGGTCCCCACAGCGCTTGTGCCAGGCTATGTGCACGTTGAGGCCAAATGAAGTGTCGAACGCCGGCTGGCAGGAGATCACGGGGCAGACCCAGGTGCCACGGGTCGACTGACTGAGATGACTGGTCGATGCACCACCTGTGCCCCCTACTGTGCCAACTTGCAGTGCTTTAGCCACCCGGCGCTCCGCTCGTTGTTGAGCGTCGCTCCTCCGCCCTCCGTTGTTGCTGGAGGGTGACTGCCTCCAACTGCCCAGTAGCGTCCTTCACGAGCCTCCTCCACAGAGGCCGATCTTGACACCGCTGGTACCAGTCTATGGCAAGTCCATTTAGCTCCACGTCCTCCTGTACCACATCACTCCATCTCTTCTCTAGCCCGTGCCCACACCTGTTCAGCCCCCTCCATCCGGCTGAACAAAAGCTGTTTAGGCATTCGGTGGCTGGGCATGCGGGCTACATGACCCAGCCAACACAGCCTTGCCTGCTGGAGGAGATCATCGATGGGACTTTGTCCAGATCTTTCAAGGATGTGTAAGCTCCTCGCACAATCCAGCCTGGTTAAACCAAGGATGGATCGTAGGCAGGCCATCCTAAATGTTTCTAACCGGCGAAGATGTTCCATTAGGGGGGTCCACGTTTTGCAAGCGTAAAGAAGGGAGGGCATGACTGTGGCCGAGAAGACCTGAAGCTTCGTGTGGAGTGACAGACCAGGTAGCTTCCACACAGCGTTACGCAACCGATGGAAAGATAATGCTGCTCGACTGATTTGGAGTGAGACCGCTGCTGTCAAATCGGAGCCGCTCATGAGCACACTGCCCAGGTATGGGAAGCTCTCCACTCTCTCCACAACTGCCCCATCGCCAATTAGGAGTTGTGGGGGTGGAGTGTCCGATGGTACAAAATACCCAGGCAGGTGCTTCGTTTTGGTAGGGCTGATAGTAAGGCCCCACCTCTTAGTAGCACGCTCCAGGTTCAACAGCAGCGCCTCCAACTCCTCCTCTGAGTGAGCAGCAATTAGCAGATCATCAGCATACATAACATGGTTGACCAATAGAGAGTCATCCCTTGACTGCACCCGGACATCGATCAGCCTCCCATTGTATCTGTACCAGATTGAAATTCCTCCGGTACAGCAATTGAAGGATTATCGAACTACGTGGTCGAAATATATGTTAAATAATGTGGGAGCCAGGGGACATCCCTGTCGCGCACCTCAAGGTGAACAGGGAATGGCTCCGACTCCTGGTCATGTAGTTTTACCCGGGCCCGCTCACCATCATGAAGGTCCTTAATGATCGTGAGCAGAGAGTCAGGGACTCCGAAAGCACAAAGAACAACCCAGAGCCCAGGCCTACTGATGGTATCATAGGCCTTGACCAGGTCAATAAAGCCATATATACACATACACACACGCACGCAGATACACACATATAAACATAGTACATACAGTAAATAACTCATGAAATAAACTTAAAATGAAGAAAACATGGGAATAAAATAAAGTTCTAAGCATAGAAAACAAACAATTACGTAATGCTACAAAAGGAAAAGAATTACATAACACTACAGAAAACCTATTTAACTTAATCCTCGTAAAGCTCGGGCTCGGTGGAGGTGGCAGTTTAGCGAGTACGCCTCACTCCGCGGTATTCATCCGCAACCTCACCACGCTGCACTATTTGTGCTTGCGTAATGAATGCAAACATTAACACATATTTTAATTTGTTTTAACATGATTTATGGGGTCTTCAGTAACCCGGGGACTGCCCGTATTGGCGAGTATGTGTGTGTGTCCTCGCGAGTTTGTGCAAGTGAGTGTGTGTGTGTGTCCACACGTGTGTGTCCACGCAAGTGTGCGTGTATCCACGCGAGTGTGTGTCCGTCCACGCGAGAGTGTGTGTGTGTGTCTATCCACACGAGTGGAAGCCCTCGGCCAGCGGTATGGATCGGTTGTCGCATGGCGCCCTGACACGCGCCCCTTTCTCTCTCCGTCACTCGCGGCGCAGGAGTTGGATTTCCTCTCCACGTCGGTGCAGCAGCTGAAGGTGGCTCAGACCAAGTTCGTGGAGTCCAAGGAATGCCTCAGCAAGCTCAATAAAGACAATGCAGGTGCGTGTCAAGGTCACACGGTTTACACTCCAACAATAAACAACACGCTGCCCGCCTTGGCACGTCGTGAGGGATGGGAGAATCGGGATCCTTATTTAGACTGGAGGAGGAATCCGATGAGCTATGAAGCTCTTTCGTCACTGATGTCCAGTAGGGACGGGTCAGCAAAGTTACAACGATGGGGGTGGGGGGGGGGAGTGGCTAATATATGGGAGGCCATGGAGCTGCGCGTGTTGGCTGGTGGGGGGCCGGCGGTGGGCGGGGGGGGTCACTAAATCGTTGAAAGACTCTCCGCCTGTGAGATGGCGCTTCTTCTGCCAAACGAACGGCCGGCGTGCGGTTTCTCTCCGGCGTCCACTTCGGCGCCTGCGTCAGGAGCGTCGTCAGAAGTCGACTCGTCCTTCCCGTGCCGCCGTGTCCGTACGCGTGCATGTGTTTATGTTGAACTTTCTTTCGCACCCGGCCGTGCTAATCTGACTACTTCCCATGCTGCATGACCGCTCACCCATTGGTTTATTTTTTTTTGCAGGAAAAGAATTGCTGGTGCCGCTCACAAGCTCCGTATCCTTGGCCTCGACATCTCCCCTGCACCCTGGTTCGTGGTGGTGGTGGTCATCTGGCGGCGGCGGTGGTTACGTTTTGTTGACGTGGTTACGTTTTGTTGGCGGTGGTTTTGATGGTATTGTGTAGTGGTGGTGGTGGTGTCCAGCGGTGGCAGTCGTCTGGTGGGTGTGTTTTGTTGCCGCTGGTGGTTGCGTCATGTTGTTTGTTTGGTGTGGTTATCTGGTTGTGTTTTGTTGCTGGTGGTGGTTGTTGTGCCTGGTGTTGGTTTTGTGTGGTTCTGTCTGGTTGTGGTGGTGGCTGAGTTTTTGTTTCCGGTGGTGGTTGTGTCTGGCAGTGATGGTATTGTGTTGTGGTCTCTGGCAGTGGTTGTGTTGCTACTGCTGGTTGTTGCTGTCTGGTGGTGGTGGTGGTTATGGTGGTGGTGTGATGGCGTTTTGTTGTTGCTGGTGATGGGTGGTGGTGGTTGTGTTGCGTCTTTTTGGTTTGGCTGCGCACCGTGACCCTTAACCGCACAGCAGATGTACGTGCCGGGGCATCTGAACGATGTGGAGCACGTGATGGTGGACATCGGCACGGGCTACTACGTGGAGAAGGTGGGTCTCCGTTGCCTCTTGTCCATCACCGTCTTATCCCAAAGTGTCGTCCAGCCCGCTGGGCTTTAGTGCTCGGCAACTCGACGGGACGTTTAACGCCTTGGCACAGTACGTGGAGAGTTTGATCATGCGGCACGCGGAGAATGTTAATGTGGGATGGGGTAATCAACTTCGAGGTTGGGAATAGTACGTGCTAGTATGGTAGTATGCTAGTATGCTAGTATGGTAGTAAGGCGTTGTGCATGTAATTGGAAAGAGGAGGAGGAGGTTACTAATAGGGGTTTTCCACTTTTTTCTGGCAACAAAACTGACACCTTTTGCAAGGAATCATGTTAACATTAACCACAATACTTGCAGTCAAATGCAAAAAAAACAATACTCTGATAATTTATACATTGTCCTTGAAACTGATTAGTCGACACCAGAGACAGCTTTTCTTAGAGCCTAGTCTCATATGGTGTTCGACCAGATGACGCCAAAAGGCGTCCGTATGAGACTGCAAGTATTGTGACTGCAAGTATTGTGTTTAATGTTAACATGATTCCTTGCAAAAGGTGTCAGTTTTGTTGCCAGAAAAAAGGGGAAACCCCCTATTAGTATATCTTGGTACTGGCAAAGGAGGCCTCATGATGATGAGGAGGAGGTTGTGATGGGTGGGACACGTGTGCAGGGGTGGTCACGATAAAACTCGAGAGCAAATTCTGGAGAGTCGGGTGAGCACTAGAGGATTAGGCAGGAGGAAGGAAGCAATGGTGGTGTTCATCTTCTTGGTTCTTTCGGTAAAGTCACGTAGAAGGGAAGTAATAAAATAATAAAAATAAAATCTCACGACGTTTCGGCCACAACGCAAGCAGCCGTCCTCAGGTGAAGAATGAAACACCACCAAGCTTGGAGTGTATATTTAAGCTGAGTTGGAGGGGTGGAAGAAGAGCGCCTTGACAAAATAATTTGCATATCAAGAGGAATTTAGCATATTTATGGGAAATGCGAAATTCAATGGCGGTGTGTCCACGGCATCAAAAAGCGTTTGCCGCGATGGTCTGTTCACCTTGACTGTGTTCTCTTATCCTGTTGTCCGTGAAGGGCTGCAAAGCTTCGCGTGTGTGTGGCCCTATCGGGGATTGTGTCTGCTTGTGTATGTATCAGGGCCTAGTCTCAATCAGTATCAGACCAGAGGACGCCAAAAGGCTGTCTTTGGTGTAGACCAATCAGTTTAAAAAACAATGCATACATTACTAGAGCATGGTTTTTTTGCATGTTCACTACCTGTTTTATTTCCAGAAAGGGTAAAACCTATTCTTATGCTCTGATACTGGCAGGAAAGGTCCCATGTTGTGTGTATATATGTACTGATGTATGTTGAACTTCTTTCGCACCTTACATTGCCAACCGTGCTAAACGAAGGTGTAGGGGGGCAGGACAACACAACTCAACGGGGACATTGTGGAGGGAAACTGGAGTGCCCCAGAGAATACCAGTTGTTGCGTAAGCGGGGGGGGGGGGGGGGATCACACTTGTGTGAATCCACACTCGCATGCTGGTCGAGTGATGCCAGACGCGCCCTCCGACTCTCGCGGTTCTAAAGTGGAGACACGTGTCACTGATGATTCCCAGACCGTGGAGGAGGCCAAGGAGTTCTTCCAGCGGAAGATCGACTTCCTCACCAAGCAGATTGAGAAGATCCAGCCGGTGCTGCAGGAGAAGTTTGCGCTGAAGCAGGGTGAGCGAGCGACCATCGGCACCATCGGCACCAGCACCACCGGCAGCAGCAGCAGCAACAATATCACTATCGCCAACATGAACACCATCATGACGTTCATCACCATCATCCCAATCGTTCACATCAAATACCATCAGCGTCATCGTCGTCATCGCTAGCTCCATCGTTGGCATCAGCACTATCCTCACTGTCGCTCATGTCAACACATCAGCGCCAGCTTCAGCAATGTCATCACTGTCACAACACCATCAGTTACGATCATCGGGAACGTCAATATACCATCATCATCAGCACCATCATCACTGCCGCTAATATCAACGCCATCGGCACCATCATCGTCATCATCACCTTCAGTATTATCATCGCAGCGAATGTGGCGTGTGCATCGGGGGTGTAACGGCGGTGGTGTTGGTGATCTCTGTTCTCCCACAGCTGTGACCGAAACATTCAACGCGCGAGTCCAGCAGCAGCTGCAGGCCATGCAGCAGCAGCAGCCGAGCGCGTCCAAGGCGTGACCCCACCGCGGGCGGCTCACCCATCCCCTCCCCTCCCGGCCTCTCCTCACTCTGAATGACGACCTCTCCCTGACTTCTCCTGACCCGTTCTTGCCCCACCTGATTGTCTCCTGACCTGTCTTGACTTCTTCTGACCCCTCCTGACCCCTCTGCACCCCCCCCCACCCCTGCCACCCCTCTCCGCTCCCCCAATTATTTAATGCTGGCGTGTTCACGCCCCGCTGTGATGACCGCTCGCCGTCTCCCCACGCCGGGCATCGCACGCAAACATTTATCTCTCTCTAGCGCGGGTTTTCATTTCTATTTCACCAACGTTCGTTCCGCCTGCGGCTCAGCCACGGGTTCGGTCCCCGATCAGCGGCGTGCGGCTAGCACCACGCGGCCGACCTCTGACCGTGTCATCCGGTTCGCTTCCCGGTAACGTCGGCGCACATTGCGGGCGGAACCGGGTTTTCCGCGTCGGCTTCCCCGGTCGCTAACCCGCCGCCGAGTGGCGTGGTGACGCGCGGTTAAATAATCGCCGTGGCCTGACGCTGATTGGAGGAAGCCCTTAAAGGCAGTGGAGCCGTTGCGCTGCCGGTGGCGAGATGTTAACCACCTCGTCTGGTATACAGGAGGTCGTGGGTTCGATCCAGACCCTGTCGCCTGCTGCTGTATATTTGGAGTTTGCGTGTTCTCCCCGTGGTCGCCTGGATTTCCCTCCCGGGTCCCCCGGTTTTTCCCCTCCACATTTCGAATGAACATCACGCGTTGGGAGTATTTGGCCGCTATAAATTTCCACACGATGATAAGCCACTTGGTTGAGCTATCATCTGCGGCCAGGTGAATTCTGCAAAAGAGCTGCTTGGCAGCTCAGTGGAGCCTTACCTGCTGAAAAGAACCAGATGGATCGTCTCGTCGGCGTGACGCCGTGCATCCGTGCACGACGCTCGCGGGGGCTCCCGTGCGTTACGAGAGAAGGGGCAACTTCTGGGCGAGCTCTTGTCTCCAGCAGGGGGCGCTGCACGATGCGGCACAGCCACGGACGTCGTCGCGATTGTGGGCACGGCGTCACGTTTCCGTCTCGTCCGTGAGCTCAGAGCTGGCGTTGAACAACTTGTGAAGTTGGTGCCACCTGAGGGTCGGGTCAAATCGAGCGGCTTCAGTTTGTGTGGCCAACAACAGCGGATTATGTCATAGCCGTGTGCGAAACGAGTCCTCGCATACAATGGAACGACCGTTGACCGTATTATGGTGCCGCTAAAAAATTAAAGTTTGTTGCCTGCAAGGTCGCGCGTGTGCTGGTGTTGTTCGTCTGCCTGTGGCGCCGCTGCGAGTTTAGAGACAAACCCCTCGAGGGTTTGCCGGGTGGTCGACGAGAGCCGAACAGCGTTGCGAAGGAATCGTGAGCAGCCTGGAAGTGTGTGAACAGAGTCGATCGAGGTTCTCGGCCGCTGACTTTCACACCGAGAGTCACGCGTCGAGAGGAGGGAGGAAATCCCAGGAAACGGAGGCTTCACTTTTCCGTATCGCACATTGAGTGGCACTCTTACGCCGTACGAGGAACAACATCTCGTCCTGTGCTGAAGTCGTTCTGCCGTGGGCGGTGACGATTTGTGCTCTCGCCCGCGGACTCTTCTCGGGCCTGGAGTTTCACCAAGTAAAGTGACGAATCAAATCTGCTGTGCCGGGTGTTTTTGTTGTCTCTGTGCGGTTCTATTCGGTCGTAGCACACGATGGCAGCGGCAATTCGGTTCAAGAGCCGGAGATGCCAACGTCGAGATGTGCTGGACACGACGAGAGGGCTTCGGCAGAGAGAGAGAGAGGGTTCGTGTCGTTTCGCTGTTATTGTGCGTTGCGTGGTTTTGGATTTCATGGACACAATTGCACGACTGTGGCTTGTCTTGAATGCATCTCTTTGTCTCTGCGTCTCCGGGTCTATATGCATCCAGATGGGTCTGCGTGTCTCTACGAAGTCTCTGTGTGTATGTATCAATATTTATGGATAGATTTATATCTCTGTGGGTCTATATGCATCCAGATGGGTCTGCGTGTCTCTACGAAGTCTCTGTGTGTATGTATCAATATTTATGGATAGATTTATATCTCTGTGGGTCTATATGCATCTCCAGTATAGGGTATATGCATGTATATGGATCGACGTATGTATATGGGTCTCTATCTCCGAAATCTATCTGTGAATCTCTGTCTCAAGTATCTTTGTGGGTCTGTATACATCTTCAGTATATGGGTCTATGCATGTCTATGGGTCTCCGTATCCCTGTGGATCTCTATGTATCTATATGTGTCTCAAGTATCTTCTGTGGGTATCTATGCGTCTGTATTCTCTGTGGGTTTACCGTCGGCTCCACGGCGCGAGCTGCATGGCCACGGCCGCGCTGCTCGTCGTCTTTAGCGCCGTTATTTAATTACAGGGCACGGGCGCGCGGCGCGCATATAAAGTTGTGGCGGGGGAGCGGCGCTCCATTTGAATTCTGTGCTGCCGCTGCTGCGTTAATCTCTTAGGGGGGGGGGAGGGGCGGGGGGAGATGGAGTGGGGGGGGTGGAGCAGGTTCGCGCGCTGCGCTACGAACCCGGCGGCCAGAGTTTGAATCCCGCTCACGGCCAACACCGGAGACGATTATAATTATCTGAACCGGTCCTGGGTATCTTCTAGGTCGCCTCGGCCTCAAATGAGCGCGGTGTGTAAACATCGCCACTAGGGAGACAAAGGCGGCCGGGCGTGGTGTTGGCCACCCGCCACCTCGTGTGCCGTGCCGTCCTTCATAGCTGCTGCTCGCTAACAGCACTTGCCCCTACAGCCTGTTCAAGGCTGTACGGGGGATCTTTGTCTTTGGGCGGAGGTGGTAGGATGCGGTGTTGGAAGGCGAGCCCGGAGAGTGCCGTTGCGAGTTGAACCGTTCCCTGTGATTAGCCCGATGAGACCCCCGTGGGAATTCATTAATCATCGCGCGGGGCCAGGCGATCGATTCCGCGGGGGTGGAGCCGCGTGTGGACGAGCGCCGCTGGGATTATGTTGAGATGGTTTTGGGCTGCTGCTGCTGCTGCTGTAAATTGTCCACACGACGAGGACGAGGATGATGATGAGGATGAGGTACTTCGTTGAGCTCCCACGTGTGATCGCAAGGGCGCTTCTGAAGAAGGTCATCAGCTCAGTGGGCTTTACCTGCTAAGGGGCCGTCCATAAATGACGTCACGCACCTGGGGGGGGGGTCAGACATTTGTAACGAGCGGGGGGAGGTTTGAGAAATGTGACGTCACATAAAAATGCGCAACTTTAAATAAATATAGACAACACGTTCTACTTAATTAAATAGACTTTTTAATAAATGTTTTCTCCCAAAACAGAGTACAGCGCCACATTAAATACGCACTATGATAATAGTTTTAAGTGATTTGAAGCATGTTTTATTTTGGGGGGGGGGGGGGGGGAAGAGCTTTGTGACGTCATATTTGAGGGGGGGGGTCAGACTTTTTGTGACGCCGTGTGACTAGGGGGGAGGGGGTCAAAATCGCGTGACATCATTTATGGACGGCCCCTAAGATAAAATATCTTGGTTGTATATGTATGTCACGTGATTTGCTTAGCGACACTTTGCTCTCCCGTGGTGTTTTGTGCTGCTTGTTGTTGCGACCTTCCCACCCGCCCCGACTGCGGACATCTGCTGTGAAGAGCTTTATAGCTCCTCGGATTCCTCCAGGATAAATAGATATTCTGATTACGATCGGAGCTGTCATGAGTTAAGGATTTGCATTAATTGGGTCCCCAGATACCACCACCCACACACCCCGCCTGAGATCACAAAACCTCAAGCACCTTCGTCAGTAGCACGGCCCCAAAAGGTTGTACTGTACTGCATGTGCACCGCAGTGATCGCTTCAACTTGTAGCTCTGCGCCGCTAGCGCACGACAGTTGCTCGCTCTTCCTCCCAAGACGTCTCTGTTGGCCAGAGTGGAAGAGTAGGCCAAAAACAACGGTGTACTCCTACCTCTTCGAGACGTCTGCGGGACCAGTGGCACCCCCATCTCTGCACCCGAGACATCTGTAGGTCAATGTGGAAGAGTAGGGCAAAAACAACGGTGTATTCCCACCTCTTCACCCGAGACCTCTGTAGGTCAGAGTAGAAGAGTAGGCCAAACAAAACCCGTTTGAACCCTAGCGCTCACTGCGCGTGGGTTTGAGAGGCGCGTGATGCATCATTTAGAGGCGTGACGGGGGGGGGGGGACCCCTCAAGCGAGACTCGCCGGGCTCTGGCTGGACGCAGAGACGAGAAGGGGCGACACCAACGCCGCCTTTCTCTTACCCATGGGGGTGGGTGCCAGGAGGCCCACGCCGCCTGCCTCGCTCGCTCGCTCAGGGGCCAGCGCCAACGCTGGCGGCAACTGGGCACGCGGAGTGTAATTGGCCTACTCTTCCCGCGTTGATCTGTCGGCGTGTTGGAAGGTGGGGGCCGTGCCCCACACCCCCCAACCACCATCGGCTCGTGCTGCCAGGTGGACAGGAAGAGGCTGAAGCCGGCCTCGAGGTCAGAAATCGTCCTTCAGAATCCACAAAGCAATGACTGCTGTTGAGACACTGGATGTGGAAGCCGACCCCTGCCTCGAGGCATCTGGCAGTTCAGCAGCATTTGTTCAAGCGAGCATGACTGCTGATGAGACACTGTATGGTGGAGCCGGTTGAGACTTTTTGTTTGCCTGTGGTTCGGAAACTAATGCTGCTTGCTCAAAGTCGTTAACTCGCAAAAGACGCGTATTCATTGCTGATGGGATGCGTAAAACGTACTCTGATTACATTTTTGTTACGTGGGAATAAAAAAAAAACACCCAGATGTGTGATGCAGTAGTCGACACGGTATCTGCTGATCTCTTTCGCCATCGGCATTCTGCACGACGACATTGCGTGCGATGGGGGAGAGTCCTGTGGAGCGGTGGGGCAACGGTTAGCGCGATACGTTACCAACACCCCCCCACCTACACACCGTCGCACGTTCAATCCCAGGCTACGGGTAAATCCTCCGGCTCGCGAGTCACGGGTGGGCACCCTACGGCTCTCTACAGCCGCTTCGTGGCGTAATGCGTGTAGAACAACAAGACAAAGATCCCCCGTGTAGCCTTAACAGACTGTTGGGGCAAGTGCTGTTAGCGAGGAGCCCCTGTGAAGGCCGGCACGGCACACGAGGGGGTGGGAGGCCAGCACCACGCCCGGCCGCCTTTGTCTCCCTAGTGGCGATGTTTATACATCGCACCGGTTACTTATTTGAGGCTGAGTCGACCTAGAGGAGGCCCACGACCGGTTCATATAATCGTCACTGGTGTTGGCCATGAGCGGGAATCGAACTTGGGTCGCCGGGTTCGTACCACGGTTTGCTAATCGCTACGCGAAACACTCACATTGACACAAAGACAAAGCTCCCCCGTATGGATTTATACAGACTGCTGGGGCAAGTGCTGTTAGCGAGGAGCCACTGTGAAGGCCGGCACGGCACACGAGGGGATGGGTGGCCAAAACCACGCCCGGCCGCCTTTGTCTCCCTAGTGACGATGTTTACACACCGCACCATGGCACTCATTTGAGGCTAAGTCGACCTAGGGGGGCCCAGAACCGGTGCAGATAATCGGTCACCGGTGTTGGCTCTTGAAAATGTTAAATATTGATTGTTACGGAATTCGCAAAAAAAAAGTGTCTCTTCTTGTTATTTTGGTTGCGGTGTGTACCAGAAACATCAGCACTGGGGAGAGGCACACAAAATAACAAGGAGCTTCATAGCTCATCGGATTCCTCAGGTCTAAATATATAAATATTCGGCTTCTGAAAGGGGCGGTCGGGCGTGGTGTTGAAGCGCACCACGCTCTCGTGGCACTTGCGCGGACAGTCTCCCGAGACTCTATGGGGGACCTTTGTCTTTGCCTGTATATCGGCTCCCACCCCCACGTGTAAAGCCATACGCGTGTTTTCTAATGAGCGAGCCGTAACGCGAGGAGTCGCATTTAAATGTGGATTAAAGGGTCCCACTGAATAATTCACGAGCTCAGAGACAAAACCCTCCTCTATCGCGTTCCCCCGCTCCCCGCCAGGTCCCCGAGAAGACCCCCCCCCATCCCGAACCCCCTTAAAGCTTCAACATCGGGCACTTCACCAGCGTTCGTTCCAGCGAGCTGCTGATGAGACCCCCGAATGTCGAACCCCGTCCAGAGACGCGTTCTTGCCCTTCTCGCGGTTTGAGCCGATTGTTGTGGATTCCACTCCGTGAAGGGCGCGCGACACCTTGATGAAGGGGGTTTTTGTTTTTCCGAATCGTCGCAAACGAAGCGAGCGGCGGCGTTGCGTGTCTCGGTGCCTCTCGCGTGGTCGGCGGGGCCGACGCCGTAGCAGCAGCAGGGAAGGGGACGGCTCCGTCGCGTCCGATGCCAAAATGTCTACAGCTCTGCTCCCTCCATCCACCCTTCGCTCCCTCCCTCCCGGCCCTCCCTCCCTCTCTGCGCCTCCCTCCCTGGCTCCAATCCCTCCCCCCCACATCCCTCCTTCCCCTCCCCTCCCTTTTACACCTCCTCCTCCTCCACCCCCTCCCTCCCCTCTCTCACCTTCACTTATAATTAATGGCGTCAAAGGAAGCCACTCGAGATGATGGCCGTGGATTCTGGCACCGCCCACGTG